ATTCAACTTCCTAGTTTGCTATTTTTTTCTCATTCATCATCACTTGACTTCTTCCCCGGGAGACATTACCCGCCATGTGCTTGTCCATCCACGACGCATCCTGGCCAACAATTGGCTTCTGGCCATGACTGCCATGAGCGGCGACAAGCTCGGCCAGCGCAAGCGATATCAGGTACGCGGCCCGCATGACGAAAACGAGGCTTCGGTCGGAAAGGGGAACAACCGGTCGGGGTGGCGGGAAAACAGGGTCGCAATCGCAAAGGGGCCGTTGCGGGCGGGTTGTTCGTCGTCAACTTTCCAATGTGGTGCGCCGGCCGCTTCGATGATTATCGACAATGTCCTCTGCAACTGTCTCGGAGTCGAGACACTATCGTCAGGGGACGAGGGAACACAGAGAGAAGGCTGGCTGGGGCCACGCGCGCAAACAGGCTGGCCAGACCCGCTCGCCTGCTCCGTTCAATGTTTGGTTTGCCGTGTCGCCGGCGCAGCCGTACGTCGCGACTCGCAACCGACCAAAATCAAGTACTTTGCAGCGCACGGGCCATCGTTTTCTCGGCAGCCCCAACATGAACCAACAACACAAACAACACACACGCAACCAGACATGAAGAAAGTCGTCTGGCACCAACGACAACGACCGTCTTGTCTTGTTCATGGTTTTGATTGAATTGTGGTCAACTGCCGTGTCTCAGCCGCTTCCCCACCCTTACCAGCCATACCAGAGCATCTCAAGCTTTTATGATTTGTTGCCGTTTAGCGCAAATTACTCGTGAGATCCGACTACGTCCCAAAGTTTCCTTCCAGAAATTCCTCAGACTCCCCAATCATAAAAATAAATTCCGTCGTCACTGCATATACACGTGGCCAGCATGCCTGCAACAACGTCAAACCTGGATGCCTTTACCGAAAAAAAAAAATATCAAGATAAATAATAGTCGAACGCCGCTGTTTGCTAAATCGCATTAAAAATATGACAAACCAGAAGTTGTTGACGCGCCTTGTTCGTAGATGTCGGCCTCCTTACCTTGTGACTTTCAGTGGTTCCATTTTCCACTTCCATGACTCCTCCTTGGCTTGCACATCTGGCTATGCCATGTTAGTCCTCCTTTTGAAGGCCCTGCGACCTGCGCGGCGTGACACGTGTTTCATGGGTTATGTATGGTTGCTTTCGGTCATCGATTCAAGGGTCTTTTCGCCGTAGGTAACCGAAAACGATTGACGGACGACATCCCCTTGTGATCGAGTCTCCGCTGTCATAATGATTAGATTCCACTTGGTGGGTTGAAATGTATCGGGATCCGCTCCGGCCACGTTAATCTATGAATGGTTTCTTCTGGCCTCCCACAGTGCACAGCCCGAGAGCGCGTAAGGAATCCCGGTCGCTGGCCAGGATGATGGTCCTGGCCGGCAGCATGGGATTGTTCGGATCGACAGAAGACGCGTCTTTCGCCGCTTGTTCAATGGCGTCCATTTCTTCTTTGCAGGCTTGGTGATCCAGAGGACAAATTACAATCGGTTGTCGCAAGTTAACATCGCGAGCACCACTGAGTTGGACCTTGTGCATCGAGCGTCAATAAAATTTCCATTACGGATCAAGGGCAAGATGACAATTAAAGAAGAACAGGTAGATGAAGACGGGGCGATACCTTGACGTTCAAGTAAAACTCAATCTTGTACAGCGACGATGTGGTTGTAAAAGACGAAACCTCGTACGAAGGAAAGGCCGGGTTTCCTCTCTTCACGATACCGTCTGCATCTCTCAAGTCCTTGGAAGGAAAGACGAGTCCGATATTGGTGGCATAGCCCGCTTCCGGGATTTTCATCTTGACCACCTGCACTTGCTTTGATAACTTGTTGATCTTTTTGATCGGCTCGTCTCCCTCGGGATTAAACGTGATTTCTTCCTCTATCGTCAGATGAATCTTTTCGATGTTGACTCGTTTTGCTTTGCGAAACCAGTCCGGGTTTGGTGATAGTTTGATATAGATTGTGATCGGATCGCCTGGTCCGTAACTCCATCGCGGTAGATTGATGCCGAGATGAACAAGATTGTCCGAGGCAACGAGCTTGGTTTCCGGCTTGTTGTACATGCCAAACGTGGACAGCGTGTCGTAACGTTGTATGGGAATTGGAAAGCTGTGTTTGTATTGGCTACTGTGGCCTTGCTGTACCGTTACCACGAGTTCGTAGAGCGTCTCTGCTGTCCTGCTTGGAAGCTGTAGCGACGCCGGTGGTATTCTGCGATTGGTTTCCTCTCCGCCGCGCCCAAACGGTATGAACAGAATAAAGGGCAGATCCATTGCGATGACGCTTTCAGCTTCCTTGCCTGTTGCACATCGGAAAAGAAGAACTTCTTTGCCCACGACATCGATGGCCTCCTTTCGTGGTGTACCGAGATGGCGCTTCGTCAGGCTGTCGGCATCGGGGTGGATTGTTTCTCGTTTCTGCAGGCATATCCGGACTAGTGACACTGGTACAGGCATTGAAAACCCTTGCCCAGGGCGAATTTCTACCTTGCCCTCGATTCGTGGCTGACCACACAAGAAATACGTCAATATAGTCAAAATAGGCAATGTTGCGCGTAGCAGGAAGAACTTCTTTTAACCCCAACATCTTTGGTGCCCTTCGACAAGAAGACCCAATAGTACAAAACACCAGTATAGTTGAAAGAAATTACGTACCAGGGTTGCTGAGATACCGGGGTATCCCACGAGAAAGCCGCTATTTGGGGGGCCAGAAACCCTCACATTGGCTGGCGCGGACGCCATGGTGGTGTTGTTGGTCGCGCCAGCACGACGAAGTTGGCGGTGACGACAAGTGCAGACCGCGGTAACGCTTGTTGATGGGGAGGGTTGGAATCGTCAACGGCGGCCAAAGCCCTCATGAGGAACGGTGAGATGCAGCTGTCCGAGTCGAGGTTGGCGTCAGTGTCAGTGTCACTGTCACTGTCACTGTCGAGGTCGAGGGCGAGGTTGAGATTCAAGTCGAAGTTGAGGTCGAGGTCAGCCTCGCTGACGACACCACCAAGTCGTTATTGAAGGGCGGCTTTATCGCCGGCCTACGTAGTGCAGGGTACTTGTAGTAGCTGGAGTGGGGCGGGCCTGCTGGCAGTGGAGACGAGGAAGTTGGAAGGCAGGCACAAAGGCAGGCACAAAGGCAGGCACGACGGACAGCAGGCACATCTGGCGGGCAAACCACTTCGCAGACAAACATTGACGCCTTGAGAGTCTGGGCCACGAACAACTTTAGAAAGCAACGTTGAGAGACAAAGATGGCCATGCAAGTGCCAGGAGCGCTGTCGGATTGTGCGTACAAACAGGAACAAGAACTTGGCGACCATGAGATGCAGGACGCTCTCGCCTCGGCCGCTTGCTGGTCCAGGCAATTCGCCGTCCGCCATCCGCCGTTTCCCCTTTTCACGATTTTGCGTACAGCAACGCGAGCTTGTTCAACCGACTCGAGGGCAGGTCTGGTTGGTGTCTTGGAAAGACTCCTGGCCACTGGCCACGACCCTGTGGCACATTTCGGCAGTTGGCTGCTCCGGGCGTGCTTGCAACCAGAAGCTGTGCCTTGAACAAACCGAGGACTCGGGATGAAGCTCAGATGGTGCGTTGTGTAATGCCAAATTATGCAGCACTGGCCGTGGCTTGCCCACCAACGCGACACACGTCCGCATATAAATGTACCGTGGCTGCATGTCGTGTTGGGACAAGCCACAGCCATGGCGATGACGGCCGCATCGCGTCGACGACAATGCATCATGTCTGTTGCAATATCATGATTTGTGCTGCAGGTATCCCAGACGTGACTGGTGATTGTTCATTCGGTTACCCAAGTTCGAGGATCGCAGAGTAGGTAGGGGTTATGCTCTGAGGGATCATGGAATCAGGCTCTCTCCGCATGCTCATACTATTGTAGCACTCTCGCTTTCGCCCATGCCTGAGAGAGTAATTTTCCTGAAGGCAACTAAGCTTCCATCTGACATAAAAAAAAAATCAATCATAAACACATGATACGTTGTATAATATATAAGCAATGAGGCACCGGGGACAAAAAGAATGGGATATCAAAACTCTGCGAGCCGTAGGGATCGAACCTACGCGGGCATGCCCATTGCGGTTTAAGCGTTTCCTAATGGAGGACCTAAACACAACGCCTTAACCACTCGGCCAGACTCGCTTGCGTCAGGTGACTGACAGACGAATGAAATAATCAGCTATAATCTCGATCACAAAAGCTCGCAGAAGTATTCGACCGATAGATTGAGGCTCCACTTTATTAGTCCCTGTCTCAACTAGGAACTTTATCTCAACCTCATTCATGTCGAAGATCTCACTCGCGGCTTGTTCTATCTTCTGGCATTTGGGTCAGCGCAGAGAGGAGCCCCCCGCTGTTCCCTTGTTACATAGTCGAAACCCATTCAGTGAAACTTCGTCTTGACACTACCGCCGTCTTTTTTTTTTTTCTCGGACTGGCATCAATCAGAATTCATTGAGTTCGGGCAGTATCACCATGCCCTTCGACGACGACGACAATCCCGCCTGCGACGCAGTCCAGAGTCCAGCAACACAAGAAGGCGGAGCAACCGCGGAAGAGGCCCTCGAAGATGGCGTTCCCGACTACAAGCTCTTCGCCTCCATGTTCAACAAGAAGGGCGTTTCCAGCAAAGTGATTCGCAAGGGCGAGAAGGACTTTGAATCTCATGGCACGCGAGCCCAGGACAACACACTCGAAGCGAGTCGCACTGCCTTGGAAGAGGTTCTCAGCTACACGAGAGTGCATAAGATAGACACATGGCTTCGAGCTTGGTACTTCCCAGACTGGTGGGTGACAAACTCGCCGGCCGGCAAATCTGACGATGCCTTGCTGCAGGACCGCGTCGTCGTCATGGAGCACGAACGCGGCAACTGGATGCGGGACATTGGTCGGGCCGTCTCGGGCAGTAAAGACCAGCTGGGGGTCGGGCGGTTATGGCTCTTGCCCGAGGAGGCCTTGTACCTGATTGAACGAGGCACGGTGGACATATGGTGGCCAGACAAGGAGTTCGAGGAGTTATTGCCGAGGGTTACGGACGGCTTACCGAAGCGGAATCCTTATGGTCCCGATGACTACGAGGCCGGTCTACCGCTCAGCCTGGAGGCAGCGTATGCCTTCCTCATCGGATATGAAGGCGAGCGCGGCAAGATCACGCTGCCCAAGTTCCAGGTGTACACGCACCTCAAACGTGCTGGATTCCACGTCATGCGCGCACCGTCCAACGACCCTTCTCCCTCTCTCGAGTCCGACTCGTCGACACCGTCAACCTCAATATGGGAGTGGCTCTTCTCGATCATCTCCTGGCAGCGGCATCCGCCACGGCACAAACCATACGGACCTCTCGTATCGCCGGGCCTGTATCGCGCCTACCGGCCCATCTATCAACAGCTAGCATTGCTCCCACGCCATAGGCCATCCGCCACGCCGACACCACAGCAGGTCCAAGAGCCCTTCCGCGTGCACTACCATGTCTGGAAAGGCACCGGTGCGCCCTTCTCCAAGAAGAACCCGCCCCCGCCCGATTTCCGCATCGCTGTCTGCGACACTGCCGATTCGGGTGTACCTACTCTGGAGCAGATCGAGGGCTTGCTCGAATCCACGCCGTTCGAACCCCCGAATCCAGCGTGGCAGGGCCCTGGAAGACTGTATCAGCGGCTGAAACACGGGTATAGAAATGTGCTTGTGGCGGTTGTGGACAGGGGTCTGGTCAACTTTATGCGATTCGGCGAAGCGGCGTTCGGCGAGGAGCCCCTCTTTGAGAGATTTGACTACAGGAATGGTGGTCGCGGTGGCAAGAAAGGTTCTCGTGGAGGGGGGCGTGGGAGGGGAAGAGGAGGGGGCAGGGGGAGGAGCAGGGCAAGAGGGAGGGGTGGCTGACGTTGATGGCGATAGCGATAGCGGGGTGCCATTTTCTCATGGCAATGCACTGCAAGCTAGGCGAGACAAAGAAAAAAGTTCTTCACAAGCGGCTGATGCCCACACCCACAAACGGCCTCCAATCCACACATGAACAGTTCTGCACTCGGTAAAACGAAAAGCTAGGGGGAAAGGGATATACTTTTGTATTTTTATATTCTTCCGCATCGCACAGAACTCCTTTGTTGTTATTGTCATAGCAATGATAACATGTTCATGTAGTGTCAAGCATATACGTATAAAGGTGTAGTTACAGCCCCCAAGCATGGGATAGTACATGAGAACTCCGAGGGGGGAGGGGGAGGAGGTAGCGGAACAGTACGTAAATACATGTAAGAATGTAAAGAAAGCTACAGCATCGTGAGGAAAGCCACAGTGTCAAAACAAGCACGCGAATCCTTCTAAAACACTATCCAAGTAAATATCGCCTCGTTGCATAATCATATTTGCTCTGGTCCAGAGAAACGCCAAGACTTCAAAGAAAAAAAAAATCCGAGCCACCTCCCGAATTTGTGCCCCTGCAGCTAAGAATCAGGACCAGCATCTACCTCTGAGGTCGATGCCCGACCTCGGCGCTTCGGTCTATGGTCCCCAGTTGTTGTTTCAGAGATCCGCCGCTTTAGCCCCAGGTCATTGGGCTCTAAGACGGATTGTGAAGGTGGCGGCGCGGCAGACCCGGGACTGGGTCTCTGACTGCTGTTGAAAGGCTCAGCCGGCTCATCATTGTCATGGGCGCTCGCTTCGGCGATAACGGGACGAGCTTTGATGGTTTGAGCGCTACCTTCTTTATACGTTACCGTGGTACAGTCAGATAATTCGTCGTCCTCGTCCTCGTCGGAGTGTACCGAGTATTCACGCCACAAGACATCCCCGTCTCTGCAATCGTGGGACGATCGATCCTTGGCTACTTCGTCCGACAGGTGAACTATGTGGTCAAGGCAGCTTTGAGCAGTGCCTCGACCTTCCGGACGCATAAGCAGCATCTTCGCAAGCAAGAACCCTCTGAATCTATCCGGAAAGCGTCGGTAAGATTTCACAACAGCATCGACCACGTTGCTGCACCAGGCCAGTTGATGATGAACTCCTGGTTTCTCAAGCTTGCCATAACGAGACGCACTTGGCAACAAATGTAAGCACCGGACTATAACAACTCCAAGAGACCAGACATCCACGGCTGTTGTGTAGTTTTGATTATAGTCGGGGTCAAAAATCTCCGGCGCGGAATATATCTCAGTGCCACACTTGGTTATCAACTCCATAGCATCCTTTGACAAGCCAAAGTCCGCCAGGACAATATGGAGGGGATGCCGTGTCTTGACGAGGATATTATTCGGGCTTATATCTCGATGGGCCAGTCCCTGAGCATGTAGGTAAACCAATGCTGAAAGGCTTTGGATAGCAACCTGTTTTGTCTCGGTAACTTTTAAATCCGCCAAAAAGGTCAGAGAGCCATGGGGCATGAATTCCAGTTCCAACTGGGGCCATGGGTCGAAAGTCGCATTGATCAGTTTAAGGAGGTGTGGCTGCAAAACGTCAGAATTGTGCCTATGGGTCAATCGGTCGAGGGGCATACTTACATGGCTCAGCCTTTCCATGACTTCGGCTTCCCTTCTCCAGATTTTGAACATTCTAGAACGTTCTGCGGGATCAACAGAGCAAATCCTGATTTTTTCCTCAGTTGGCTCTTTGAGAGCATGACGACAGCCATCGCTCACATTGAAGCATCTTGTCACGACTCCAAATCCCCCCCTCCCAATCACCTTTTTCAAGTAGAAAGGTCCTTGGGCTAGCGTGTGCGACACAGAAGCAGCTTCTGTTAATGGCACATTAAGATCCATATCCTCGATCAGATCTTCTCCCGTCGCGGTTCCTTGTTTAAACGTCTTAACCTTGTCGAGGTAAGGCAGAGATATAACTCCACGCTCAACGGGAACAATCCGGAATTTCATGCGATGAGAACGTGCGAAAACAATGATATCCATTTTCTCAACGCACTCGTCCCCAGCGATGATCCACCTGAAATTGCTTCGGAAACCCGACGCTTGTGAGTCATATTTGACTTGAGTTCCAGACGTAGATCCTGGGTCTATGACTATGAGTCGTCCCTGGTCGTCAAAGGTCACAGCAAAATGATGATTGCTAAAACCTCCCCTTTTTGGGAGTTGAACATGGCACTTTGGACTGCATCCGAATGTAATCCCTAATTTAGATGCCGGGGGATTATCGAATCTGATGTCGATAAAAGGTATGTCGTCCATAACGTCCAAGTCTTGACTTTCGGTTTCTGAGAGCTCATCGTCGTCACGTCTGGATGGTGCTACATAATCGCGACTAGCCTTGATGGCGTGGTGTGCGAAGTTCTTAAAGCCAATTGTGGGAGCGGGGTATATACGAGCGATTATATTTTTGTCGTCCATGGTGTCCGTGAGCCAATCTGACGAAGAGTGTTGCGAATGTCACGACCTTTTGTCCGGGCGGCAGTTGACGTTTTAAGGCCCGAGTCGCGGACAAGTGGGAGAGCAGACTGCGAGAGGAGCTAACTGCGAAGTGGGCCATGAGGGCCATCATGAGCGGGTAAGTATTCTTCTGGATGTCTCAACTCTCACTCAATCTTTACTGCGAAGCAGTCAAGGCGGCTACGTGGCGGCTGCCATTGGACGCTGGCCGCATCCTGGATTGCGTGCCGTATGCATGTTGGCTCTCTTTTGAAACCAAGCATCACAATCAGGCTGCGCAAATGCAGATGCCCCGTCTCCGGAAGCGGCGATGAGTGAAGCCGCTTAGTGACCCTGGTAAAGCAGCCGTGACTCTTGACCAGGATGCCTTCATTGTCGTTGGTAGGAACCTGGCACGTTGTTTTAAGAGCACATAGTCTGGTGCCTGGTCTAAGTATTTTCTATTTTGAGACACGTCACATTATCAAGTGGAGAAACTGCCAGGCGTCGGTGCGGTACACGCGGATGTTTCCGCTATAGTGTAGACAGTACTCTGGAAACACCCGCATGTGGTCGATGCAAAAAGGTAGCGGATACCTGCCTAGAATCCACCTATTCGTTCCTCTGTTGGTCGCAGCCCACAAGCATGGAACTAGGGGAGCCATTTGTCACATGGGCCCACCAGAAGAGGGCGGGTGTGGCTGGCCACCCGTCGCGCTCAAAGACAAATATCTCGGGCGTTCGCGTTCGAGGAAGAGGACAATCTGACTCTCTCTCTTCAACTATTCTGTC